CCTGATATTAAGAAAGTATAGTTGCCTGTATTCTTCTTCTCTTTTTTTTTTTTTTTTTTTGGTGCTCTGAATTGAACCCAGGGCCTCCTGCCTCCTGCATGCTAAGCTCACACTACCACTGAGAGTGAGAGAGAAAGAGAAAGAATACACATTTTTCTCTCTTCTGGTATTTATTTTTGCCTTTTTAAATGATGGGCCTTTCCAGAGATCTACCTTGTCTATTAAGTTAGACTACTTACCAAAATATGCAGAAAAATAATGTATTCCATCTGGTTCAAAAGGAACATTAGATAATTTGGCGAAGTATTCAAGTGCTGGCCAGTCTTTGGGTTTTTCCAGAAGCCCAGAACCAAGTCTTAAGTGTGTAGGTTTGAGTTGTCATTGCCCTTGGAGGAGTACTTGTGTCCTGCAGTGAAGAGTCGAGCTGTTTCACTGTGGCAGTGATTGAGTCTGCCGGCTCCAGCTGCTGGGTTTTTGCCATTATAAAGATAAGGGCCGATGCAATCATCCTTAGGCCCGTGATATTTATGTAGATGTACTCTCCATGCCTTGAAGAATTCTGCTTTACCTAATTTTAAATCACTGCTAGGCATGATTGGGCCAACACAATGTTTCTCAATTTCTTGGAGCTTTGCTACATATTTCTGCCACATAAAAGTCAAGGATTTTATTAAATTAAATCTCTTTCTCCTGATAATGAGATCTGTGACTGCCACTCTTATATCAGAGCACATTCTTATATCCACGACTTGAGATGTCAAGTATTTCTGTCTCTATCAGAATAAATCCCAGCATTTCTGAAACAGGGTTCAAATTTAACATTTTACCCAGTATTTATGTTTATCTTATATATTTAGAGCATGACACTTAAAACATTGTTTTGTTTTCCAACAAGGAAAAGTTCCTTTTGCCTTGTGCATCATTGCTGATGATGGTGACTCTGAAATCAGAGTTTAGTCAGCAATACTTTTGATTCATGAGGCAGAATAGCAGGCATTTTGCTCTTCTGTAGCAATATTGGTTCTGCAGGGGAGGTGGTAGTAAAATATTTATTTTTCTGAGTAAACTAAGCAGACATGAATCAGAGGACACACAGGAAAGAAATATATGATCTTCTGAGATGCTGTTTTTGCAAAGGCTCTTTTCGACAATAACCACACTTTATATCCCTGTCTTTTACAATATTCTGTAATTTCTAATACAACATAAAATAAATTTACACTTTCCTTATAAAGACAGCAGTTGTGGACTCTGCTATCAATCCCTCAATTCAAAGTGTATTGTGTGTTCTAAAGCAGACTGGTAGAGCTGAAAGCAAGGTAGACCAGTTGTTGAAAATTATATGGAATCCCCATTAGACTATTTACTGTTGGCTTGGCCAGGCCTTTCAGCATCTCATTTTCTTGACTTATATTTCACAAATAACAATCTCTAGGCATCCCATGAGGTTGCTTTGACGTCAAGTAAGATAATGCATGTATAAATTGCTAGGCTTCCATAGATATATGAAATTATGGCTTAGGAGGCTTTTGACACTCTCCTACCCTTTGTAAATTCAGGGCTTATTCCAACTAAGCTAAAAAAATGTAGCTGATAGCTGTACACAGTCAAGGCAGACAAAGTAAATGGCTGTTGCGAGAAATGGGAAGAGTTTTTGATGTCATATAGGTCTGAGGTCTGATATCTTGGAGGTAGATAGCATTTCTAGCAGCTCCCAAAGTCAAGTATAGATTTGCAATAATTGAAATTATTGTTATAATATTTACAACCTACCTATATTTGAAATGCTTCAAAGACACCAGATAATTGAAGGTAAATAAAATCAATAGTATCTTTAGGAAATGCCTTACACTGTATTAAAATCATGGAATGTTTTTGTTGTACACAAAGGCATAGTTATTATGTAGTTCAGATAATAGTTTGAAGTGTTTGTTATCCTTCTTATAGATGATTTCATAGTAGTAAGTAATTGCCTGAGAGAGATGGTTTCCATTCTTAAATAAAAAAGATATTCTTAGATGAAATTTCTTTTTATTCCTAAGCCTCATAATGTTTTTAGTCTCACAGAAGATAGAGAATATTTTCTTGAGCTATTCTTCATAGTTACATTACTTCAGTGGTTTAGGGGAATCATAAATTGCTATCAAGATTAGTAGATTTTTAGGCATGCATAGATTCCCTATCACTTTTACAAATTAGAAAGGGGGGCTATAAATGGCACAGACTATTAAATTCATGAAGTAATCACATGAGAGGAATCTAAATAATGTCTATAGTCTGAAGGTTTGTTCTTTACAAGGTAGTAAAGATATGTAAAATTCAAATTTGGCTCTGAACTTATACACTTGCAAAATGCTACATAACAGTACAGGAAATATGTTTTGAAAAGTAGTCGGAAATCAAAGGTCAATTCAATATGACTAACAAAATAAGAGATTACCAAAAGTGATTTTCTTTTTCTTCCTTCCTTTTTTTCTTTTATTATTGGAGGAAAACATTCTATCTGTAAATGTCATTCTTCTTAAAATGCTCAAGATAATTTCCAGAAGAATAAGTCTTTTATTGAAATTCTTACTGCTTATCAAAAAGTCTTCATTCTCTATACATTCACTTACTTTTGACATTATAAATGTATATCTCTTGAAAAGCATCATTTCCTCAATAAATATTTACATAATGACTAGGTCCACTGATCGTCAAGGCAGTATGAATTTGAAGATGAGATGGGATAGTCTTGATTCAGGAGGAGAAATTGGCATTTCCTTATGAATTGACAAGTTTAAAAAATTATTTTGAAAAGACAACAAATACTTTAGTTAAAGTCAGAAAAAAAACAAATTATATTTTATCACTGATTTAATGTGGTGGTGGTGTATCAGTTATATATTATTGTATAATGAAGTAATGTCTTAAAAATATATTGTATTTCACGAACCTGGCTTGACAGGCTCAGCTGGAGGGTTGCGCTCCATATGGTGTCACTGGGGTGGTTGACATTTGTAGATCTGACTCTGCAAGTTCATCCCATGTAGCTCACACGTGTGACCAGCAGTTGTATTGGCTGCATGAGCCCCTGGTACATTGATTCTTCACCACGTGGTCTCTCAACTTGGCTTAGACTTGTAAGATATGGCAGCTGGCTTCCAAAAGTAGGCATTTTGAGCAGTGAAGGAAGAAAATGTTTTTTCTTTAGGACTCAGCAGCTACACAGCATGGCTTATGCTGCCTTCTGTTGATTGAAGCATGTCACAGGGTCAGACAAGTTCCTGAGAGAGGAAACAGAGTCAAGATCAATGGAAGGAGGGGCCAAAGAATTGACAACAGTGTCAACCTGCTACAGGATAAAAGCTTTTATGTTTGGTGAGAAGTTGTCATGACCTCCTATACATTGATTCACACCCTATCATTTAGATATTTGGACTAACTATCATACCTCAGAGCATAAAGATTCAAAGCAGAGTTCTTTATATACATAGAACATTATGATTTTTTGATTTTTCACATGGCTTTGGAATAATGTGTTTATATATATACACACACACACACACATACATTTACATATGTATGTAAAAACGCTGCAGAATAATTAACATAAGTTCATAAAAATAGAAGGAAAACTTCAAACTTTTACTTTTAACTCATGAGAGCTCATAACAAATTTCTAAGTGCAGTTTATAAATACAAATTGTTTGTGCTCACCATGTAGTTAGACTTGGTGGACTGACAGAAATGTTCGTATTGTTACACATACTCCTCATGGCACAGATTTCTAGGTGTCTCTTATTATTTGTTTTCTCCTCCTTTCTTAGTGTCAATTTATACATTTTTAGCTTAAGACTGCACTTCCAAGTGTCCATGGAGTTAGTTATGTGACAGAGTGACAATGCTCAGTCATAGGAAATGTTGATAAGCCCCTTTTGTCTTCTCTCATGTCACTGTTTAAAGGGGAGGGGACTGCCAGACAAGGATCCTGTCCAGATGTCACCCAGTGGGAAGATGAAAAGAATCTTGTTACCTGATGCCATAGTGGTGCATCTGTGCCAGGCCAAAACTGCCAACACTGAGGTTCTTTTATGTGAGAGAGGTAAGCTTCTGTTTTGCATAAACTACTTTAACTTTGGACATTTTTGTTATAAGGAACCAAGCCTAATCCAAATTGATCCACCTGATAAGCAAGTCCTCCATCCTGGACTTAAACTAAATAAAATCCAGTCAGTATTGATGACTATCTTCTCTATAAGTGATATGTTAAACATGGTTCTCAGGTTTTGTTCTTGTTGTTTCACACACACACACACACACACTTTTTTTTTTTTTTTTTGGTCTTTTTGGCCTGGCACTAAGTGATTTAGTGCCCTTAAGGGAACAAACAAACAAACTAAAAAAACTATAACTCCACTATCATGTGCATATGTACTCATTTACATGGAAGGAAAATGAAGAAATCTTTTTTTCCAAACTGATATCAGATTAGTTTTTGGTTCTTGCTTGCCAAGTCATAATTGGCTAAACACTACACCAAAGAAAGCTGATTCTTGTGTTTGTTGCCTTGATGATCACAGCACTACTAAGGGTCCGAAGCAGGAAACGACTTAAGTCTAATTCAAATCAAGTAGAATGTGTGTGTGTATGCGTGCACCTCCATGTGTGTATGTGTACACCTCCATATGTGTATGTGTTGTTGGAGATGAACCCTGGATAGTGTACATGCTAGGCAAGCTCTGTACTTCTGGGCTACATCTCCAGAAAGTATTTTTATTGTCATATCAGTATGATGAGTAATAACATCCATTATTTGTACAAAGAAAATTATGCAACATTTTTTATATATAGTAATATTTTTAATACTGCTCTGAACTTAGAATTGTGATTTACACTCATAGTACTCATTCTTTTTAAATAAAAGACTTACTAAGATATAATGTGTGTAACCATAAAATTCATTCTTTTAAAGTATACAAATCACTGAGCTTTAGTATATCCACAGAACTATGCATCCATCACCGTTAATTTCAAAACATTTTCATCTCTCTAGAGCAAATATTCTTACCCATTAGCAATCATTCCCCATTTAGACCTACTCCTTCCTTTGCCAAACACCAATACCATTCTGTCTCTATAGATTTGCCTGTTCTGGTTATTTCATATCACATATATCATATAACGTGATCTTTCTGACTAGCATAATGCTTTCAAGTTTTATCTATATTGTAGTATTTATCAGCACTTTGCTCCTTTTTATGGTTGAGTAGTTCCACTGTATGGATATAGGATATTTTCCAATTCATTAGAAGATAAATATTTGATTTGGCTGTGTCCCTGAAGTATGATATTTTTAAGTCCTTTGGGTATAGACTGAGGAGTGGAATAGCTGGGTCAAATGGTGGTTCCATTGCCAATTTTCCAAGGAATCTCCATACTGCTTTCCATATTGGCTGCTCCAATTTGTAGTCCCACCAGCAATGTATAAGTGTGCCTTTTTCCCCACATCCTCACCAACACTTATTGTTGTTTGTATTCTTAATAGCTGCCATTCTGACTGGAGTGAGATGAAATCTTAGAGTCATTTTGATTTGCATTTCCCTAATTGCTGGAGATGTTGAACATTTTTTCATATATTTGTTGATTGATTGATCATCTTCTGAGAAGTGTCTGTTCAATTCCTTGGCCCATTTATTGATTGGGTTATTTTTTTGTTGTTGTTTTTGGTGTTTAGAACTTTTTGAGTTCTTTATATATCCTAGAGATTAGTGCTCTATCTAATGTGGGAGTGGTAAAATATTTGCTCCCAAGATGTAGGCTCTCTCTTCACCTCACTGGTTGTTTCTTTTGTTGCAAAGAAGCTTTTTAGTTGAATCCATCCCATTTATTGATTCTTCATTTTAATTCTTGCTCTATAGGAGTTTTATTAAGGAAGTTGGGGCCTAATTCAACATGATGGAGATTTGGGCCTACTTTTTCTTCCATTAGTCAGTGTCTCTGGTTTAATACCTAGGTCCTTGATCCACTTTGAGTTGAGTTTTACGCATGGTGAGAGATAGGGGTTAAAGTTCATTTTGTTGCATATGGATTTCAAGTTTTTCCCAGCACCATTTGTTGAAGAGGCTATCTTTTCTCCAATGTATGTTCTTGGTGCCATTGTCTAATATAACTGTAGTTCTGTGGATTTGTTTCTGTGTCCTCTATTCTGTACCATTGGTCTACCAGTCTATTTTGGTGCCAAAAACATGCTGTTTTTGTTACTATTGCTCTGTAGTATAGTTTGAGATCAGATATACTGATGCCACCTGTTTTGCTCTTCTAGCAGCACAATTCACAATTGCTAAACCATGGAACCAACCTAGATGCCCTTCAGTAGATGAATGGATAACAATAATATGGTATACATACACAATGGAATAGTGTTCAGCATTAAAAGATAATAAAATCATGGCATTTACAGATAGATGGATGGAGTTGGAGAATAAAATGCTAAGTGATGTTAACCAATCCCAAAAAACCAAATGCCGAATGTTTTCTCTGATATAAGGATGCTGATTCATAATGGGGTTGGGAGGAGCATAAGAGGATTAGATGAACTCTAGATAGAGAAAAGTGGAGGGAGGGGAAGGGGGGAACATGGGAGTAGGAAAGACGGTGGAATGAGATGGACATCATTACTCCAAGTACAGGTATGAAGACACTAATGGTGTGACTCTACTTTGTGTATAATCAGAGACGTGAAAAATTGTGCTCTATATGTGTAATATGACTTGTAATGCTTCCTGCTGTCATACATAACAAATTAGAATAAAAAAATTTTAAAAAGAAGAAGATAAATATTTGAGTTGTTTCCACTCTTTGGCTCTTATAAATCATATTGCCACAAACATTTATGTGATGTTTTTGTGTAGATATAGGTTTTCATTTCTCTTGGGTATACAACTAGGAGTAGAATTGCTGGGTCATATGTTAATGCTATGAGCTGATAATTTTAGGAATGGTCAGACTGTTTCCCAAAGTGGTTACACCATTTTACACTGCCAACAGCAATGCATGAAGGATCTGATTTCTCTATATACTTCATAATACTTGTTGTCAGGCCTTTAGACATTCTAGTAGATATGAAGTGGTATTTAATTGATTGTATTTGTGTTTCCCTGATGATTAATAATATCTAACATCTTTTCATGTGCTTATTGGTCATTTATTTACCTTTATTACAGAAATGTCTATCCTTTGCCTGCCCCATTTTCGATTGGGTTATTTATCTTTTTAGGTCTGTGATTCATTTTGAGTTGATTTTTGCATATGGTTTGAGGTATGGATCCTGCTTCCTTCTTTGGCTTGTAGTTATCTAGTTGCCTCAGAACTCTTTGTTGAAAACATTATTCTTTCCCCAGTGACTGGTCTTGATATCTCCTGTCAAAATAAATTGACCAAAAAAGTAAAAGTAAAGATTTATCCACGGACTTTCAATTTTATTTCTTAATCTATATGACTAGTTTTCCCTTTATTTTGGCCAGCACCACACTGTATCAATTACTATAGGTTTATAGTAAGATTTGAAATTGTAAGTTGTGAATATTCCAATTTTGTCCTCCCTTTTCAATATTGTTTCAGCTATTCTACATCTCACATTTCTATATGAATTTGCTCATTTCTGCAAAAAGAAAAACAAAATAAAGGAAGGAGGGAATAAAAAAGAAAAAAAATGAAAAACTATATGAAAACTAGCATTTTGGTAATGATTGCTATGAATCTGTGGATTAATTCAGTGGGTACTGTCATCTTAACAATATTAGATCTTTCAATTCATGAACTACAAATGTCACAATTTTGTCTCATTTGTTAATTCTATTTCATGTGCTTTTTTCTTTTCTACAAATATATTGAAAGGGCTCATGGGCTGAAGCCTTCAATTAGTGTCATAGCCCTTCAATCATTTAGTGTCATTTGAAAAGGGGCCAATAAAAAGGGGAGACAAGCAAATGCATAATTGAATTCCATCTTGGACAGCTGACCTATGACTGTTTTGCAATGACAAAATTATTCCAGTGTGAATGTACAAGAATGCAACTACAAATTCCACTGCTACGTATAATCATAAGGCACCAATTTTTTTTAAGTTTATCCCAAGTGGATCTCTCCCAAGAATCAGCTGTGAATTCTGCTCTGATTCCTTTAAATTAGCTTGATAATGAGATTTTCCAAGATGGCTTCTATTTGCTAAGATGCTTGCTAACTGGTAAGAAGCAGATTCTTACCAAGGAGCATCTGGAATCTTCTTTCACTGTATTTGTCAAAGGTTTCCTAATTTCTGACAGTTATATTTTTCCTTTTTTTTAAACAATTTGTTCCATGACAATAGAATGCACTTTGACACATCATACATAAATGGAGAATAACTTCTCATTCTTGTGGTTATACATGATGTAGAATCACACCAGTCATGTAGTCATGTATGCACATAGGATAATAATGTCCCATTCATTCTACTATCCTTCCTACTCCCATACCCCTTTCTTTCTTTAGATCTCTTGAGTATAGATCTGTATGAAGTGGAATTAAATGTCCATCTCTGTTGCCATTTAACCTGGAAATCCTTTCTAAGTTGTTATGCACTGAATTGTGTTTTCCCCACCAGCAATTCGTATAGAAATCCCAACCCTTAGTACTTCAGAATGTGAGTGTTTGGAGAAAGCAGCTTTAAAGAGGTAATAACGTTAAAATGAGGTCATTAGGGTGGGTCTGAATTCAATATGACTGACATCCTTATAAGAAAAGAATAGGACATAGGCACAGAGAGGGAAGACCATGTGAAGTCACAGAAGGTGACCTTCTGCAAGTTGGGGAGAAAAACCTCAGAAGAAACCAACTTTATCAGCACCTTGATCTCAGAGGTCCAGCCTCCAGATGTGATAAGTGATAAAGACTTACACTAGAAAGTGACCAAAATAGACTGAAGAATGTTGTAGTGTGAACTGATCAATATAATCAATAAGTCATAGACATAGGTTATAGATTATTAGAATAAGTTAAGATAACATAGATAAGCAACAGTAAGACATAAGTTCATCAGGAATAAGCCTAAGTAATAGTAATAAGATCATGTAACTGTAAGACACAGGATTTAAGCCTCAGGGAAAAGATATGGAGCAGTGAAAGGCGTTAAGTCATATGCCAGTATAGTTATAGATGAATGTAGGCTGATAGGTTAATATAGATATAGACAAGGTTAAATCAATATAGTTGTGAACAATTGGATTAGCTTGATCATGCAGACATAGGGCTTATAGGTATCAGTAGTAAAATGATGAGTAAATGAGATAACTGCAAGCATCAAATAGGTTACTAGCACCGGGATAGCGGGAATGGAGTCACTGTGGCTATATGAACAAAAAGCATGGCCGTAGGGACTCTGTCTTAGCTGTTCTAGACTCCATCTTAGTTTTTCTGTTTCTGCTCCTGTGAAGAGGGAACTGCATGACCCATTTCTGAGAAACAGAAACGAAAGCTGTCTTCTTTTAAAAAACTGTTTTTCTCTACTTTGTACCCCACAGGAAGTACCCAATTCAGTATACAGTGGTGGTCGTGGTGAGCTCCATCCTGGGTTTGAATACATTTATGGGTCTACATGACTTTAAAATAGATTATCGCCCTTATTCAGCTGAAACTCAAGCCTCTGTACCTTGCTTGCTTGCATGATGCTGAGAAAAGCCCTTGAGTTGTGTTTTTTTTTTTTTTGTCCTTAAATTCCCAAGACACAGGCCAGGAAATTGGTGTTCTCCCACAAAGCATCAGTGTCTACCGGTGGGAGACAGTCCCTGGCCAGTTAAATAAAGATCTCTTTTGTTTGAATTTGAACTTACAGTGTTTTCTGAGGTGGCTCCTGATAAGGAAGATTTCTGATTTAAGTAGCTCTTTCTTACTACATGACACCTGTCTTGCTACTAATTGGTGCCTGGAATAAAGCATTATTTGGGGGCTACTAATAACCACAATCCATTGTTTATTCTACATATATTCTATTATTATATTCTATCAAATTGTTCTTACGTTGAGCTGAAATTGTAGCCTAGCCGCTAACACAGGTTACTGCCAGCTTTTCCTTAAATCACAAAATATTTATTTTCTATTTAATGACTCTTCATTAACTGATCTGTTCCCTTTCTTCTATTTTCTTTCCCTGATTATCTTTTCCTGATTAAATACTCTTGGTTCCTTCAGCAGTTTCTTTCTTTTTTTTAGGGGGGGGGAGGCAGATCTGATTATTTATTTATTTATTTATTTTTATTTATTTTTTTAAATTGGTTGTTCAAAACATTACAAAGCTCATGACATATCATCTTTCATACATTTGATTCAAGTGGGTTATGAACTCCCATTTTTACCCCAAATACAAATTGCAGTTTCTTAAAAAAAAAAAAATTAAAATCTTCGCAAAATATACATAACATAAAATTTACCATCTTCACCTTTTTAAAGTACATAGTTCAATGGTGTTAGAATATTTTCACATTGTTGTTCAGCCAATCTTCAGTGCTCTTTCATCCTACAAAACTGCAGCCCTTTAACCCCTTAAGCAAGTCCCCATCCTCCCACGCTAGCCCCTGGCAACAACCATTCTGCTTGCTGTCTGTGATTCAACCTCTCTAAGTACCTCATAGAAGTTGGATCAGGCAGAATTTGTCTTCTTGTGACTGGCTTGGCATAATGTTCTCAAGCGGTTTCTTTGGTGACAGGATTTTCGGCTTTTTCCCCAATCCCAGGTGATCTTTTGTGAATCTTGTTTGCTCATACCCGACTCAAGAACGCGAGGCCCAGGACAGCACATATTAATCCAAAGAGTTGTCTAAGAGGCAGAGAAAAGAATTCATTCTGGATATAACATTTCTAATAAAGGTCGTGAGATTGTCTTGATCACTCCCTGCCACTGTTGACTCATACTGAGCTTCACTGTAAGGTCAAATGCCCCAGTCCTTGAAGGCAGTTCTTCCCCACTATCCCTGCTTCCCTCCTCCCACCTCTTGCCTTATCTATCACCTAGCACAAGGAACCCAGAAATTACATAAGGTCATAATAAGGTTGGAAAAATATGTATGGGACCTGCATGAAGAGTGAATTTTCTTATGCAGTTTCTTCTGTAATAACATTTCATATTTTTATTAAACTCTGATCCACAGAGAGAATCAAGGCAGTGACTTTGGGAGATTCAAAACCATAAAAATTATTAATATGCACTGACCCTACTATCCAAATTGGTATTCTATAATGACTCAGAATTAATATATTGAGCAAATTTTTTTCACAGTAAGGAACAAACATATAAAATTGCACATTTTTCCCCTTGCAAACACATACTACTTTTTATTTAATAGGCTAGCCATTCTCAAAAATCATGTCAAGCCATGTTTGTGTATGTATGATAAAATAGTTTGTAAACCAAGAACAGCTCAGTTGTTACTAATGAGAATACTTAATTTTTGTTAAAAATTAAGGTGGACTCAGGGGTATCTTTCTCATTTATTTTATGGTATGGACAATAAAGTTTGAATTGCAATTATTAGTTACCTAGGTGGAAATTGTACACAATTCAAAACTTTCTCCTTGGAGTGCAACTGTTATTAATATATAGATACTATTTCAGGGACTATGAATCATTTAAATTCATGTAACTTGAAATTCAAATTAATTTGATTTTTTTCTTTTTAATTTTGCCAAATGGTTAAATTTATAATAAGAAAGAAATTAAATAGAAAAAAATAAATATACACATTCCATCCATGGGACTATTTTTAAATATACTTTGGGTCCCAGCTATTTCTTTGTTTAAACAAAATGTATGTAATCATGGGAATGTGAACATTATCCATCCCATATGTTTAAACTATACATATCTACATATGTGTGTCTGTGTATACGTATGTATATTAGAAGAGAGCGAGAGAATGAGAGAAAGAACCCCACTAGCATAAGCATTTAGGATAATACCTATCTGGTGAATACAAATATAATATTTCTATGTCATGAAAACTTCTTAAGTATTTAAATTATATTTTTGAGACACCTAAAGCAAGTGACCATTTCATGTTGGTCAAATTCCCTAATTCACTGATCCCTGCTAGGGAAGCATTTTGGCAAAGTAGTCATTAAAATAGATTGCGTTTTCCCTTGCGAAATGGACAGACCACAGAGTATTAAGTTTCTGTTTGAAGTTGAAAAACGGTTTAGCAGTGTCATAGTTTGCTAATAGTTCCCTCTCTAAGTACATAAAGCTTCTTAAAATTGTATTGCACTTTCAGGCTGTCAGCACCTTTAGAAAGTACATATTAGGAAAAATGCATAAAAGCACAATTTATAATTCTATTTACCAATAAGCAGGGTCAAAGAGTATTACTCTATATTGAGAATCATGTATAAAAAATGTGGCGAAGGTGCTCAAATTCTCTGATAGACCATTTCTTGTTACCTTCACTTGGCCATAATTCTCACAGATTGACTAGCTGTTTTTCTTCTATCTATAGATCATTTCAAAGAGGTCATATTTTATTGATAAATCATTTTATCCTATTTAAATAGCATAACTATCTCAAGTTTCTATTTTAGATGAGTACAGCTTCTATGGCTTTTTGTCTTTGCTTTGGTACTTTGAACATACACTTGTGTACCCCATTATTTTATCACCCTGCATTATCATTTAACATATCACCTCCGGTGACCTCTTTAACCACCATAATCTTAGCTCTTTTGGAGTTTGAGTTCATAGACTTTAACTTGCTACTAAATGACCAGAATTTAACTTGCCCATTCACTACACATTTTGCTAACAGGTAGCAAAGTTTCAGTGTGACACTCATTTCAGGTTCTCTAGGCAGTTAATGGACTTTTCTTTAAAAACAAACAAACAAAAACAAACTTTTCGTTTCAATAACCACTCCCCCAGATTGCCAGGCTGGCTGGACTGGCTGCTCTTGGAGATGCTCCCATGGTCTGACACAGGCACGCCTACCCCTTTTCTGTGTTATGGTTGGCACCCTCCTGCCAGTGCTGGACCTGCTGCCATTACTGATGCCTCAAAACTCTTCAATACCTCCTTCACACCTCCCCTCTACTTTTATGTTCTTTCTCAATTTTCTTGCTGGTCTTCCATTAATCTGGTTTGAGAAAAAGTCAGTGTATTTCCTTCCTTTCTGTTGAATCAAACAAGCACCTGCCATCATTTGTAGCGTTCCCATGTCTAATTTTGAGCATCACTGAGGATGTTGGGTCAAGCCATCTTTTGGGCATCCGCTTTTCCATATGGTGGTTCTTATACTTGCTCTGGTATGCACAAAAACTGGCTTCTAGAACTCAAGAATTTGCAAGGCAAGTTCCAGTGTTCAATCCCTTTACAAAAGCCTAGAAAACTCACCTATATAAGTTAACCCAGCAGTCCCTTCACATTTCTTCTTTTATTTTAAATTTATTTTTATTCTGATTTGTTATATATAACAGCAGGATGCATTACAATTCATATTACACATACAGAGCACAACTTTTCATTATCTCTGGTTGTATACAAAGTATATTCACACCATTCGTACCTTCATACATGTATTTAGGGTAATGATATCCATCTCATTCCACCATCTTTTTTACCCCCAAACCCCCTCCCTTTGCCTCCCACTCCTTTGTCCTATCTAGAGTTCCTCTAATCCTCCCCAACCCCACTATGAATCAGCCTCTTTATAACGGAGAAGACATTCAGATTACTCAGCATTGCTGAGTAATATTCCATTGTGTATTAATATTGTCAAAATGACCATACTACCAAAAGCACTATACAGATCTAATGCAATTACAATCAAAATCCCAATGACATTCCTCATGGGAAATAGAAAAAGCAGTCATGAAATTTATCTGGAAAAATAATAAGAGACCCAGAATAGCTAAAGCAATACTTACCAAGAAGAGTGAAGCAGGTAGCATCAGTATACCAGACTCTAAACTGTACTACAGAGCAATAGTAACAAAAACAGCATGGTATTGGCACCAAAATAGACTGGTAGATCAATGGTACAGAATAGAGGATACAGAGACAAAACCACATAATTATAGTTATTTTATTTATCTGTATTCATTGGAGAAAAGATAACCTCTTCAAGAAATGGTGCTGAGAAACTTGGAAATCCATATGCAACAAAATGAAATTAAACCCCAATCTCTCACCATGCACAAAACTCAAAATGGATCAAGGACCTAGGAATTAAACTAGAGACACTGTGCCTATTAGAAGAAAAAGTAGACCCAAATCTTTATCAACTTATATTAGGTCCTGACTTCCTTAATAAGACTCCTATAAAGCAAGAATTAAAATCAAGAAGCAATAAATGGGATGGATTTAAACTAAAAAGCTTCTCAGCAAGAGAAACAATTAGTGAGGTGAATAGAGAGTCTACATCCTGGGAGCAAATTTTTACCATTCCCACATCAGATAGAGCACTAATCTCTAGGATTTATGAAGAACTCAAAAAGCTAAACACCAAAAAATCAAATAACCCAATCAATAAATGGGCCAAGGAACTGAACAGACATCTCTCAGAAGATAATATATGATCAATTAACAAATATATGAAAAAATGTTTAACATCTCTAGCAATTAGAGAAATGCAAATCAAAACTACTATAAGATTTTATCTCACTCAGAATGGCATGTATCAAAGCACAAAAAACAGCAAATGTTGGTGAGGATGGGGGAGGAAAGGCACACTCATACATTGCTGGTGGGACTGCCAATTAATATAGCCAATATGGAAAGCAGTATGGAGATTTCTTGGAACACTGGGAATGGAACCACCATTTGACCCAGCTATCCCACTCCTCGTTCTCTACCCAAAGGACTTAAAAACAGCATACTTCAGGGACACAGCCACATCAATATTCATAGCAGCACAATTCACAACAGCTAAACTGTGGAACCAACCTTGATGCCCTTCAGTAGATGAATGGATAAAGAAAATGTGGTATATACACACAATGGAATATTACTCCCTTCACATGTCTATGGTTAGAACTGCATTGTTGGGTCAATTCTGCAATTGTTTTCAGGGGAAGGGAATGAAGTTGCCACAACTGGCATATACTACACAAGTTTCAATCCCAAGAGTTGGGGAAAGCCTGAGCTTGCTCTGAAACACAGAGACACAGACTCCTGTGCAGAATCAAGGTCCTGTTAACAAGAAAAATCCAGGGATGGGTTTGGCTATAGGGTAGGCCACAGTCACATCTGCTACAGAATTGAAGGGCTTTGATTGTCCATGTGTGAACTGGGCCCCAGTCACTGAGATCTATCCAAATGGCCTTTGGTTGAGCCAAAACTGTCATAGTGTCCTTTCGATTTTTGTAGCACTTGTTGATGTAATGCTCACTGACACTTAGCACATCTGACCTTTTAGAGTCAATTGTCCTCTCATGTCTATGCTCTGCTTCCCATCATGGATGCCAGATGGATATTTTGGAGGGTGAAAATAAAAGAAAAGGGCTATTTGTGGACTAAGTGTATATCCATGTTTCCAATCTCAGTTGCATTTCTGCCTACAGAGCAGAGATGGGTCCTGAGCACTGGAAAAAGTTGTTGGTTAGTCTTGCCTTCTCTTAAGCCAGAGTCTGCAGAGTACCAAATGTGGCTATGCGGGGCCCACAGACATGCTACTTCAATATTAGAACATTTTTTTATGTTGAATAATTATTAATATTAAGAAATACAAAAAATTCTGATTTCCCATTTCTTCTGAAAAATCTGTTGCTATGATACCAACTGTATCCACATTCTTCAAGGCAGTGATTGGCTTGTGCTGCCCAGTACTGTC